TTTCGGATCTCGCCTTTTTTATTGTGTATATCGAGTCTATTAGCTCGGTCGAGCATACAGGAAGCTACATTTCAATTTTCGCCCGGATCTCAACTTTTAGGTTTTTGTCAAAATTTATACACGCGAAGTTCTTGAATGATCATCTTAGGGGGCGCTGCTTACGTTATATATAATGCGTTATATTTTAAATAAAGTGAGATCCAAATAAACGGCAACATTGTAAAGCGGTACTCTCGCTTTAAAGTGCGATAGCAAATAATGAAAGAGGTAGCTGTACTATGTGCGCTTTAACGTAAATAATTTGTTATCTGCCACCTCGTATGTATTATTCCTAATCCACGTTACGGTATAAGGGCGGATTTGTATTAAAGAGATTAAACTGGTGGATTGAGGAGAAATGTAAAATAACGTTTAGTATATTTTAATAAGCACATTAAATTAATAAATTAATAATTAAAATAAGAGGGTCATAATGGATTCTAAGGGTATCGAAACTATAAGCTAGGAACACACCTACCACGGTGCCCAATAAGGGAATTTGATACACTTTCGATGACCACCTGTATTGTGATCAAAAGATGTCAAAAACGTTAATTTCTATACCAAGTTCATCGGGAAAAGAACCAAAGATATTACAGCGCTGTCTAAATTTGGTAAATTGTTTATGATTGATTTTACCAATTAGGTATCCTACGCGTAGTGGAAGAGAGGTACAAAGCAGTTTTATTCTGATTTCTTCGGGTTTGGTGTTTACCTACACATGATTGCAGGATAAGTTCGATGTTTTTGAACTGAAATTGTCACCTCCATGATTTGAACCAATTTGACTAACCAAAGCATCTTTCTTCAAAAATGAACTTTTTACAGATTTCGTTACGAAATACTGAACAACCTAATGGCTTACATGTAATCATAAGCAAATATCTTTAGGGTTCTTGTGATTGCATTTTACTAACCAGGCACCATACGATACTGGAAGAGAGATAAGAAAGCAATTTGATAATGATTTCTTTGGATTGGGTGTTTAAGCATGGTTGGAGGATGAATTAGATGTTTTTGAACCAAAATGGCCACCTCCATGGTTTGAACCAATTTGACTAACGAAGACATCTTTCTTCAAAAATGAACTTTTTGCAGATTTCATTGCGAAATACTGAACAACCTAATGGTTTACATGTAATCATAGTCAAATAACTTTAGAGTTCTTGTGATTGCTTTTTACCAACCGCACCATACGATACTGGAAGAGAGATAAGAAAGCAATTTCTTTGGGTTTTGTGTTTATACATGATTGTAGGATGAATGAGATGTTTTTGAACCAAAATGGTCACCTCCATGGTTTGAACCAATTTGACTAACCAAGGCACCTTTCTTCAAAAATGAACTTTTTACAGATTTCATTACGAAATACTGAACAACCTAATGGTTTACATGTAATCATAGGCAAATAACTTTAGAGTTCTTGTGATTGCTTTTTACCAACCGCACCATACGATACTGGAAGAGATAAAAAAGCAATTTGATAATGATTTCTTTGGGTTTGGTGTTTATACATGATTGTAGGATGAATACCTATGCATGAGCAATTTTGAAGCATTTCAGATAATGCCAAAAAATTATTACATTAATTATAATAGCAATTGTACCTTGAAAGTGAGTTTGAATTGGGTCCTTCAATTCAAAGATGTAGACTTATACACCGCTATCAGCTGTTAGAAAAATAAAATAATCATTTCCAACGGGAACTCTTTCCTTTAATAAATAGCTAATCGTTAATATTTATCATCGATGTAAAATAGAGTATTACACTAGGTATTATTTAATTAAATGTTATAATATTTCAAGCCCCGGGTGCCAAATAATGTTAACGCACCGCTTTATCGAAGAAAGAATACGCGAAGGAATCCCACAGGAAGGCTAACAACCTGTTAAGTATTCGCAAAAGATAACGAAATCTATTTTTAGAACAAGTACATTTGACAACACCGCATGATCTCTCCTTACCACACCAATGTCATTTTATACACTATATGATCTCTACTTAAGTGTATTTATTTTTGGATCTCATCCTAACTGCTTTTTATATGGATAATTTTAATTGTAGAATTCCTTTCCCCTCTATAGGGGTAATGATAGAAGAACATATTTCATGTCATTGGCAACCCATTATACACGAATATTTTCAACTTTAAAGGGGGATCTCAGGTTATCCTACTATTATCCGGATCTCGACTTATATCAATAATAGATATATATATATATTATAAATATGTAAATATATATCTATTTAAATACTCTAGCAATAACAAATAAGGATCCCCAATAATTCAGACGGCACAAATATCACAGGTTCCAGAAGAACAACTTCAACTTCTAATCCTAACACCGGAACAATTAAGTCTCCGAATCAAGTAGACGAAACCCCACCCCCCTTTAACTCTAATCAGGAATCATGCAAGATAATATATATATGTAAATAAGTTACCTTAACCCTATGACTTCGTCCTAAAAAAATAAGTTCCCGTGTAGCAGGGATTAAAACTGCCACAATACAGCGCACCGAACAAAGCAAATACGCATTTGGTTAACCGAAACAATAAAAAAAAATGATTATCAAACCTCGCTAGATGTTGATCAACAGCTATCGGTAATTCTGCGGCCTAGATCGCCGGATTTAATTAACCAGAACCAATAATTAGTTCAACTAGATACCTATATACCAAACCGAAATCACAGCAGCCAATATGGTTCTTATCTAGCATGCACAAATTTTCATATACCAAAAAAATCGTTATAATTATCCCCTTAAGTCAATTAATATTTACCAATCAAGCTGGCTCCCACCCCATAAAACAATTAAAATAACAAAATCACAAAAATATATCTGACCAAACCCACTTGATTGTCGGGACCTGTTATTATTCGGCTATAATTTGAATATACTGAATCTCAACTAATTTACAATTAACAGTAGCACAAAGCTTCCCACCACAAGTAATTTCTTGGCAACGAAATGTCTTCAACTAATTTTTAACGAAAAGGGGTCTCCCCAAATTAAAAAGAATTGACAGAATCTCAGAGATTCTCCGCTAACAATAATTTATCGTGAACGTCAAATTCCGCAGCAACAAGAATGTTCTAAGGTCCTCCCAATCAATCGGTACGTAACTCGACAGACATTAATGACACTTAGCTGTGTATTCCTCCCCTACGTTCCTCCAACACCTCGCCACGATCTCCACGTACAGCGGTTGACTATGTGGTCGGCACGAACTCCAAAGGTTCTACGATTCTACAACGTCCTCGATCTCACGTTTCTCCCAACAGCGATATACACGAAAAATACAACTCCAACTCCCTCAGGGTTAGTCTTCAAGACACGAAAAACGAACGTACGACAGCCCTGCTGGTTATTATCGTCCTACAGGTTGCTCTTATAGCCCTACCAGTAGCTAGCTCCGCCCTTTTAACAGACGGATTGTACTAGATTAACGCAGATGAAAGCAAATTGATTGACGAAATCTCCGGCCCTAGCCGCGTGGTCTAACCACTCTTTTCGGTGAACTACATCGGCCAAATCCCGCAAGCGGTAATAAGACAACAACCCATTCCTTTCCAATAGTCCAATTCCAAACGAAGTCTTAATAAATACCGATAATTCACCAACAATCACATAATATGCTACACTACGACTTGCTTTCCGCCATCACACCATTTCAAGAGAGAGATCGTTGATAGTTCCACCTTAAAAATCCCCTAGGTGAGCGGCATCTTTCATACAACCAGGACTCCTACACGATATTCGTTTTCCCGACCAAAGTGACCGTCACAAGTGTCCTTTTTAAACTTTTGTAAATGCCCAATTCTTGTTTAAATTTGATCGCTTTTGTAATTTATTTGTAATTTTGTAATTGTATTGTAATATTTAAGAGATCAGGTGTTCGAAGAATTGGGCGTTTTCATATTTAATTGGTTACGTGGAGACGTTTGGCGCATTCCGTCCGTAATTGGCATATTTGCAAATTTTGGAGTCTATTTGATGTGGGAATTGTGTTTCCTTAAATATTGGAGACAACGAGTAAACGAGACGGTTTTCTACTAGTTTTGGCGACGGCGAGGGTTAAAAAGCGTGTGTACTAGAGTGGAGCGAAAAATTACATTTTCCGAAATTCAAAGTATGGTAGTGTTCAAAAGTTGTCTATTGCAAAACACAAAATAACATATTAAATGCGCAATTAAATAAAAAATACTTTAAGGCGCGTCCAGACATGGCGAACGAGCGCGAACAAGCACTCGCGAGCACGAGAATTTCGTCAAGTGTGGACGTAGCGGCAAGCGCAAACGAACATGAAGAAGCAACGACAAACGTCGGCGAACGCGATCCGCCGTCGGTCGGTACATCAAAGGAAAATGCTCGTTCGTGTTTGATCGCGATCGTCAGGTCTGGACGGGGAACGAACGGTCGCTGTTGCATTTGCAAACGAAAAGTGGCAGTTGAGTCAACAGGTTGAGTTAAACTAGCAGTGTTGATTGATTTTGCGTGTTAAGCCTCATGGAATGGTCCAACGACATAGTTATTTCTTTTATAAAAGATGTGGAAAAGTTGGCAATGCTATGGGATAGCCAAAATCCCTTTTACAAAATTACAAGGAAAAAGAATGATGCGTGGTCCGAATTAGCTCGTACTTACAATAGTACACCAGAAGAAGTAAAAAAGAAATGGAAGAGTTTACAGGTAAGTTAATGATTTATTAAACATTGTTCCTTAATTTTCTTTGTTATTAAAATTTTAATTGAACTTAAAAGTTCCAGATTTTTGCATAGGTGGGTACCTATTTTTAGGTATATGGTCTGTAGGTAATGTAATATTTATTATTTTTTTTAGGCGTCGTATAGAAGGGAGAGACAAAAAGTCAAAGATGTTACTCATTCAGGCATGGCGACAGCTGACAAATATACTCCCACCTGGTTTGCTTATGATGCTTTGGCATTTATGTCAGATCGTTATACTCCACGGAAAACACAAAATACTTCAGAAGTAAGAATTTTTATTCAGATACATATTTTACCGTAACGAACAATAATAGTTAATAACAATATATAGATAACCTACTCATAATCGTCTTGCCATGAAACGCGTTCTGTTTTGCAAAATTCCGCAAACGTATCCCTGATTTTTTTTACATTTTCGGCTGTTTTTCGAGGAATACATCGAAAAGAGCTAAACGCCGATCTTTCTTGGTAATCGTTCCCTTGCGTACTTTTTTTTTCTACACCTGACTTCTCGGTAAAATTATTATAGTTTTTGCGATTTCTTAAAAAGTTGTGTAGATATAAACATGCAAGCACAACAAGAGTTGCTTTATCAGGATTTAACAGCATTGGTTTCCTGAACACTCTGAATACAGACGATAATATGCCGAATGCATTTTCAACAATTCGTCGCGCTCTACTCAGTCGATAATTGAAAGCTCTTTCTTTTGTACCTTTTTCCCAGGATCCTGTATAGGGTTTCATAATATTTTTCATAAGCGGAAACGCGTCATCTGCTACAAACACGTAAGGTGCGACAGAATTGGTTGTTGGGAGGGGCGCTTCTTCTGGCAAGTTTAAAGAATTTGATTCCATGTCAAGATAGAAACTAGTATTTTTAAACACACCACCATCGGAAATACGTCCTTGACAACCGACGTCTGCATAAATAAATTTGTAATTTGCATCAACAACTGCCATTAACACAATACTGAAGTGCGATTTATAGTTTAAGTAGTCGGAACCGCTGTTGATAGGTGCTTGTAAAGCTATGTGCTTCCCGTCTATCGCGCCTAAACAATGGGGGAAATTCCATAAATTGTAGTAATCTTCCGAAATTTTGAGCCATTCTTCCCTGGAAGTTGGTGTCTGGAACAAAGAGAATTACCTGATAGATATTTATTTTCTGTAATACTCAAAAATAATTTTAAGAGCGGCGATAAACAAACTAACCAAAATTAATCACCAAGACCACGAACAAAACTAATAAAACCATTAATTTTTGTAACTTAACCTTTTGTATGTTTTTCCTTGGTTTTTAGGATTCCCAGCAGCTCCTCGGTGAAGGTGACGATGAAATCCTGGGCGATGGTGAAGATGAAGAAAGGAATGATAAAACCTTAAAGGAAGCAACCTCAAAGGAAACTGGAAGCAAATGTGACGAAGAAAAAAGTGAGATGCCCTTATCTACCACGACTACAAAAAGCACTCTAAAACGACCTTTGTTTTCAAAATCATCGTGTGCCAAGAGGCCTAAAGAAGATCCTAGAATAGATGAAGTTTATAGTATTTTGAAATCGACTGCATCAGAGCGTCCAGTTACTCGTGATGATAATGATGTATTTGGAGAATACGTTGCGAAAACGTTGAGAACATTAGATAGTCACTCGAGAATTGTAGCCAAGCATTATATAAATCAAAATCTGTTTGACGCTGAAATGGGAAGATTTAGGCAGCCATTATTACATATGCAATCACAGTTCCAGCCTCAGTATTCCAGCTCGGCTTCTGCGCATTCTTCAACAACGGTGACACCATTCCCTTCACCTTCACTAAGCCTTGGGAATCCTAATCAAAATTCTCAGCAACAGTTTTCAACTAATCAAAGCCTACCGGCGAGTAACCATCAGATAACTCCAACTCCTATGCAGACAGCTCCGTTGCAACATGCAGAACAAGTTTCAGCAATGAGCATGGGATCTACAGTTCACGAGTCTAATGACAGACATACAGAAGAATCTGCAGCACCCTCGTTACTTACGTTTTTCACAAATTTTCAATAGGCATCGGTAGTTTTAATGTAATATTTTTTGTAACATTATCCCTAACCTATGCATATAGCAATTGGTGAAATAAATATAAAAATAGTATCTTACCTACCTTAATTTCATGTCGTAGAGCGTCTATTATCGCAGCACAAACTTCAGGAATAATCGTTGCAATAACTTGTTTTGAAAATTTAAATAGATAACTAAGGCTGGCGTAGGAATCCCCTGTTGCAAGAAATCTTAAAGTCACACTTAGTCTTTCTTTTGCTGGAATAGCTTCTCTGTAATAAGTGTCCTTTTTTACTATTTTTGGTCCTATTAATTGCAACAATTCTTCAAAATCAGTGGCAGTCATTCTGGAAAAGTTTGTAAAATGCCCGGAATCTTCTTGTGTAAGGGTAAGCAATAATTCTGAAGCATTACGGTTTTCTCTGTCTCTAAATATTGATGTCATCCACCATCGACGGCGCCTTCTGCGTTTTTTCTCGTTTAATTTCAGAAACAAAAACGCAGCACTTGCTACTATTATTTTTTTCTTTCGAGTCGAATCCATGCTCGAAAACAGAAAACTGTGGAACACAAACGAATGGTAAAATGGCCGCGAATTGTTCGTTCGCGCTCGTTTTAAAGAAAATCTCTCTGCTTTCCGCTCGTCGATGCTTGTTTGCGTTCGCCAACGCTTGTTCGCGCTCGTTCGCCATGTCTGGACGCGCCTAGAGGTTCCCCAAAGGCATTCAAATTTCACAAAATTAAGTATATGGACTAAATAGGTAAATAGCCCTCATTTAATGCATATATTATACATTGTGTTTGAAAACAGTGTTCTATGTGTTTGAAATGTGCTAGAAAAAGGTAGAGATCTAAGTATGACAGCAAGAGCAAAGAACTGGTCACGGGGTTATACTTTGACGGTTGAAAAGATAGAACAATTACGCAAGAGATGAGAGGGAGCCAACTTCATAGAAAAACTGTAATAGAAGAGCACATTGTGTTAGTATCAGAGCCAGGATCAAAATATTTAGGTCATGTGACGCCACTATCCGGATCTGCATCAAATATTAAACGGCAAATTGTGAAGTTTCTAGAGGAAAAGATAGACTGCTCCAATTTATTTGGCATAGGGTATGACGGAACAGTTGTGAACACTGGGAATAAAAATGGTGTCATAAGAATGTTAGAACTATATCTTGGCCGTCCCGTTCAGTGGCTGATCTGTCTGTTCCATGCAATTCAAAGTTTGGATGGAGCTTCAACTGGACCGCATTAAAATTCTGGTACCATTGGGAAAGCTTTAGAAACCTGTGAAAGTTTACCATCTGTATTGTATCATCCAATCCAAAGCGAAAACTTACCAGAACTTGTTCCTAATGATGTTAGTACTGACCAAAAATATTTATGGGACATATGTCAAGCTGTTATTTCTGGTGTTTGCTCCGAAAGCCTAATTCATAAAAACCGGGCAAATTATGCCATTCCCGTTGGCTAACAACGGCGAACAGGATACTAAGACTTTACATATCCTCAAATGAAGTAACAAGGAGCCTTCAAGTATTATGCGAATTGTGGTGAAGATTTATGCACCTTCATGGTTCAATATCAAGCTTAAGCCATCATGTAAAGAGGGTCCTCGGCACTTGTTAAATATGATTAAATGGTCCAGGCATTTTGATGAAGTCATACAAAGAAACGGTTTTTATGCAAATCCAGAAAATCTTCTAAGTTTCATGGTTACAGATGAATCTAAATTTGTAAGAGAGTTAGCGTATCGTCGTCTACTGAAAATTCGACAGCAAGAGCAATGCTTTTAGCATTAGATTTTTTAAGATTCCAAAAATTAATTTTAATGCAACAGACTTTGTGGAACTGATTGACTGGCAGTCATGCAAACTTACGTCCTCTCCATTGCTATCTAATATTTCCAATGAGGATATTTTAGCAATGACAGTAGATCCCGATAAAATGGAAATTGATCAATATCCCTGTCATACTCAAGCAGTGGAACATGTTAGATTTTTTGTTTTGTGCCCAAGATTTGCACGTATTAATAAATAGTTATTTACCTAACAAGTTCGGTAAGTTAATTTTTCCGCATGAGCACTTTGTTTGCAGCACGACCGTAGGGAGTGCTGCATTTAGTGCGAATGCGGGAAAATTCTTTCCGAAAGAGTTGGGTACAATATTTTTTGTAACGAATTGCGTAAAAAAGGTCAAAATTAATAAAGTTCTGTAAATTAGTTTTTTTTAATCATGAGTTGGTAACACAATAATATGTTTGGTTGGTAACATAGTTTTGTAACTACCCACTTTTCATCGCACTGGTCACATTTAAAACTTTCAGATCTTTGGTTAATACATATTTTGCCTTTGCAATGAGTGCTACTACTGGTCACAGAATTGCATCGTTTGCACTGCATATCCTTGGAAGTCTTCAGTGTTAACAAATATGCTTTGAAAAGAGTGCTTTTATTGGTCGCGTAAGTGTACTGATCGTATTTAATATTCCCAGAAGACTGTGCGGCGGTTTTCTTAACTTGCTCGCAATTACTCGTTATTTTGGTAAAGGTTTCCTAACAAACTGAACGTAGGTACGCCATTTTGCCGTGGATGTTTCCCTTTACGAAATAACAACAATTTCTTTTCAGGTTCGTGTCGGTGTGAAAAATCTTCTTTTTCTCTCTTCAAAGTACTTAGGACTTACCTTCTGTACCTCTTTAACCCGCTAGCTCAGATAATGAAATGGGTGCAAATAGGAAGATAATTCGTTCTATTCTAGCTCACGGTATAAAATTCATTAATCATAAAAACGTAACCAAAATTTGGAAGAATGTTATTTTGACGTTACTACTCTCATATGCTTCCGAGATTGGTATGTAAATGCAACAATCTGGGTTTCCTTTAAACGCAAATTTCTTGACCTCCTTGAGAAATTACAGAGAATTAATATTAATTATCTTTAATACCTTTATTTGAAAGTCAATGGATTCAAAACATATAAATATCTCCGCCCTTAAAAGAACGGTAAAGCTTAATAATCAAAATAACGGACATTTCCTTTAACTGGTACCTTAATCAAATTTAACTGTTATACAATCCCCTAAAATACATAAAACCCCAAAAGTCAAATATAAAATTGTTCCGATCGATCCAAAATACGCAAACTTCACGATTTAATCAAGTTTATCAAATATAAAACTGCAAATTCTACCTTCATTCGTCTCGGTAATGGCGTTGCTTCTTATCTAATCGCCTTACATCCGCTGGGAACAGGTTGGTGACCTCGCATTCCAGGCGTTCGGTTTTGTCGTTACAGGAAATCAAACTGGTGGTGGTGGACTGCCAAATTTCCCCAAATCTAATCTTCTCAATGTGGAAATACCCACAAATACTTGCTGGCTTTGCAAGCAAAACGCAAAGCTAAGTTAAACAAACGCTGGCGGAAAACAATACGCCGGCGGGAAAAACTAACGCTGCATATGCTCTTCTTCCATACTGGGAAACAAACTACGTTGGCACACAGACTCCAAATTCCACTCTTAGACAACGATGTGGGCGTAAAATATCTTGATAACTTTATTTACGCTATATCAATCTTAAAACGTTCGGCGACGTCACACTATCACTTTTGATTTTTTTGTTGCGTATTGAAATCGTAGTACGCTAACTGCGTATACCGCGTACTTCAATTTTCCAGACCCTAATCACCACCTTTTCTACTCGATGGTTGAACGCCGACTCCCTGCACTTTTTACTCCGCATAAAAAATTCCCCTCGCACCGTATTAATTGCATTCATATAAAAATGAAACAAAAGCACTTTAAAAATAGAATCTGTCCTTTGCACTTTATATCTAAGTTACATTGTAATCAAAAAAAAATTCTTTCTAGGACGTAAAGAATGTGTAAATTTAGTTTTTAAAAACTCCAACCCATTACAACTGTGAACAAATGTGATCTCAAATTTGATTTATCTTGAGTTGCGTAAATACACTCGTTACATTTATAATCCTTGGAAGCTTTGTGTGTGTTAATATGTGCTTTCTTAAGCTGCATATGCCAATAGTTGCGGAATATCACTGGTCACAATTTAAGACGTTTTAACAATAAATTTTACTTTTTCTCGAGTTCCACTTCTGAAAAATAATTTGATTGCGTTATAAGTTCTTGTTTATATATTTACGTAAACCTTAGTGTACGTCTGTTTCCGATTAATCGCACTAAATACCCTCAACCCACGGTTTAATTGATTTTACAGCAGATGACAGTTAACCATGACATGACGTTCGTTGACTTCAATAAGTACTACCAACCGAAGAACGCACATAACCCCTTCTCTCCAGCGGAAACTAAAAAACACCGCGATGCGGGAAAGTCGTTTTCCCGTGCATCGAGGATGCTTGGAAACATTATCTTTCCATTCAATGAGTACAAAAAAGATTTTTCTTACAGCAGATGCCGGATGTGTACGAGGAGAGATTATAAAATTCTAAGTTTCAATTTTGATTTGTTTGAGCTGACCGACACGTGTGTTGTGGATGGTGAATGACCGCATACAACTGCACACAGAAAATAATCAGTACATTTATAATTAGTAATTACTCGTACTTTGACGGATTATCTGCATTAGATTAACAAAGCATATCGTGTTAGATACCATCCACACAAAGAATGTATAACAAAAACCAAAACAAATAACACCATAAACTACTGCACTGTATACCTGTATTAGGTTCGCCAGGAGAGAATGCCGATCACAGAACACGTGATGTCGATCTACAATCGTATGGTTTAATTTGATTACCATACAATTGTAGACCGGGGGTCAGGTGTTCTGTGACCGGAATTCTCACCTGGCGATCATTATACGTGATTGATCGTTGGGCGACGTCACAAGTATCTCTTATATGCACAATATTACACCTCACTGTTTTTATATAGGCGTGCTTTTTCTGTATTAACAAAATTTTAAAAATTATATTACGACTCTTGCACCTAGTAACAATTTACTTATGCGTTGAATAGTGTCAGTTTTTATTAACCTGGTAGGTTGTAAACCCGATGTTACGATTTTAATTCACTAACAGATGCCGCACAAAGAAAAGGTTTCACATAAAATGAACTTAAAAAGACCCGTGTTTAGGAGACCGCGAATAAAAACCAAACCATAAATCTGAAAAAGTATGCATACAGACTCGTTGCGAGTTGTAAATGACTATTCTCATTCCTGCAATTCGATGCTGCAGTTTTACTAAAGGCATATTATTATTGCATTTGCACACTGCATATCTATAATTATAAAACATAAATAACTACCAGTTTATTACCCTTTTAATTATTTGCTTAATCTTTCTGACGTAATTCTCCACTTCAATTCCTTCTTCTTCAGTTAACTTTTCGTTAGGCACGTTGGTCGAAAGCTAATGGGGTGTTAATGCCCTTAACGTGGATTGAACTTTTAAATAATAAGCTGTTATATCTTTAACGATTTCGCTGTATTGTTCTTCTAGTATAAAAACAGTTACGTCAATCATAGCAGGTAGCCCACTACAAAACCGGTCGTCTGTGAGGTGGACAAAAATTATGCTATTATATTTTCATCTCTATCTAGCCCATGCGAGGAAAAAGACAAGTTTTGCAGTGGGCGGCTACATGCGCGCAACTGTTTTTATACTAGACGCCCTATAGTTTGCAACCG